AATATTTTATAAAAGGGCTCACATACCATCTTAGAAGAAAAAGAAGCAGATAAGTTTTTCATAGCTTATTTCATAATGGCCTTATAAGGTCACCAACCTTTTTCATAACATATAGAGCGCGTCCGCCCTAACATAAGACACCCACGTGTGCCTAGCATTATGATCATAGCTTCTTTCATAATGGCATCAAATGCGAGCATTGCTCATCATACATAATAAAAATCCAAATCATGGCCATCAAATCCACACCAAGTATATTAGAGCCCAAAAAACATTCTCATAAAATTCATGTTCTTTAGTCTTCTCATAATAAAAAAACTTAATTTACACTTAAGTAGATTCATAAATTTCTACATCTTAAACAAAATGACTTAATATTAGAAAAATTCCAGCATAAAATTAACATTTGGTGGACCCTTGCTGGTGTTTTTTAAAAAACATAAACTTGAGCTTTATTGGTCTCCAAATTAAATGAAATCAGAGTATCATTAGAAGCTAAGACAAAAAGCCTACAAACTGTATATGAAGGGATCACAGCCCAGATCATATGAAGATAACAAAAACAAAAGCTTAGGAACACAAACTAACAGACCAGGACCTTGATTCAGCAGAAACCAAGTCCATTGTTTTATTGAATTCCTACTAAACCCACACTCAATTAAACAATCCAGAACCGAGAGAATTCTCAAGACACAGGGGGAAATAACTTTTTATGAAAGAACACAGAAAACCCTAATTTATTCATTTAGTGGTCAAAATGGGCAACTAAAGTCATGATGCATGTTGGCGCCGACACAAAACAGAGTCAGTTTGGTTTAGCCATAAGTTGATTATATTATCTCCAATTGGACACAAGAGGATGCGTTGGAAAAGCTAAGAGATAAGGACCTACAACTTTTTATGAAGGAACTAAGGACACAGATGAAAATTAGAAAGGATTGGAAAAGATGGGCCCTAAAATTCCACTCAAAAGTTGTCACATTTTTCCCAAATTCAGTTTTACTTTAGCCATGAAAAAGGAACATTTGAACCACAAAGATTACAAGGTAGAAATGTCTACCACAACATTAATACTCATCAACATCATCCAAGAGCATGTTAATGGCAACCAAAATTTCAACAAATCAATCATTTCATACAAATTCTCCAAAATATACACATTAATAGCATAAAGGCAACAAAATCAAAATTTTGAGTAAGGTTAAGTGTGTTTATGAACACTAACCTTCAAAACAAGCTTTAACAAGCTTTTAATCAAAGCTTCTCAGCTTTGGTCTTGCCTTTATCCTTATTAGAAGGCTCTCCACCCTCTTACATGGGAAGAAACTTTCAAAATCAAAAAAAGAAAAACAAAATAAAAGAAGTAGATTGCGAGGCATGATTAAGCATGTATATGCTAAAAGACAACTCTAAACCAAAATAATTTGAGATTATTTCATAAAATCACTTAACTTGACCCAAGTTAGCGGAAAATCACAAAATTCCTTGAAATTAGGTCACCAAAAATGCCTTCTCTAGCTTCACTCTCTAAGATTAGTACTTAAATCAAGTTGGATGGGTGGAATTTGATGTGTTTACTAAGTATTTACTAAGTAAGAAGTGAAGAAAAGGAAGAAGAAGAGAAGAATAGAAAAGAAGAGGAAACGTGAGTAGAAAGAAGATGCCAAAAAGTTTTGGTGCTCAATTAATTGTAGTTGCTTTATTAAAGCAACTAAGGGGTATTTTTGGTCTTTTCTTCAAATAGGGGGTTGTTTTTGGTTCTTTTCTCCAAATATTCTCCAATTAAATTCCTTCAAAATATTATTTATCTCCACAAAACTCTCTTAATTAATTCCATAAAAATTAATTCCTCAAATTTCCTCCATTAAAAATAATGCTCAAAATTTCACTTACTTAATATAACACCATAATTCACTATTCACTAATGAATCTAAATTCTTCCAAAAATATTCTTACTTCTAGCCCATAAAAACCATGCTACATGCTCCAAAAATGTTAAATAAATATATAAACATAAATAGTTAAAGTAATTTTTCCGAACCAAAAATAATACCAACTTCCGGACCGGTGGTACTATTCACAGACCAGTAAACTACTATTGAAACACAGGAAAAATGGGGCGTTACACATTTGTTGCCAAAAGGTGCTTGATTGGGCAATTTATTGCCAAAAATTGATGTTTGGGCTATTTGTCGCCAAAATGGTTGATTAAGGCATTTGTGCATTGATATTTGATTAGACAATTTGTTGCCAAAGATTGGTTAGGCGATTTGTCGCCAAAATGATTAAGGGCATTTGTGCCAAAGGGGTTTTGTTGGGCGATTTGTCGGCCAAAATTGATTAAGGCATTCGTGCAAAAGATTGATATTGTAATTTATGCAATTTATTGCCAAAGAAAAGTGATATTGGGCGAACGATTTGTCGCCAAAAAAAAGTGGTTATTGAATTATGTGGCAATTTGTTGCCAAAAGCGATGATTAAACCTAGCAATTTGTTCGCCAAAAATGTGATTATTAAACTGTAGGCAAATTTGTTTGCCAAAAACGTGATCGATTAAGGCTTTACCACAATTATTGATTAATTGGACTTTTAGCCGAACTTGTTCGAATAAAGGGCCAACTACACCGTAGTTATTAATGTAACTAGGCACTTTAGCCAATATGTTCGGAGTTTAGCATTAATACCACGATTTATTGATTAACCGGGCATTTTAGCCTAAACTTATTTTACTTAGGCATGCTGCCAAGATGGACGATGGTGTGAATGCAGTTATTTAATTGAGTTTAGAGTAGAGAGAATATGCACAAAATGC